AAAATTCACTGTCCCCCTCCAAAGCCACTGAATTCAGGTCGGGCCTGTCCCCCTCCAACTTATGGTGGTGGTGGTGGCAAACAGGCCCATCATGTTTGATTCCCCAAGGTGGCGTGTCTTTGCCCCCCAAAAGCCTACTGTAGCACCTAACTGTAGCCTCCCGCGCCATTCTGCCGGCACGTGGCAAAACGGCACTGAACGACGCGAATCGACGCTAGGCTAAGCGACGCTGAAGCGATGCTCATCGACGCTTAGCGAAGCGAAGCTGAATCGATGCGCATCGCCGCTCAATTGGCGCCGCCTCATCGACTAACAGAAGCCAGCGCGCGCGAATGCACCCTCGAAAAACTGGCTTGCGATGGCCTCCAAGGCTCACGTGAGCTTCTACCCTTCGCTCGGGCATCTCTTCGCACAGGCGGATAATGGGTGAAAAATCAGATGTAGGCAAACTTCACTCAAAAACAGATCAACAATAGTCTGGCCATCGTCTCCAGACAGACTACTTTTGGCCTATCCTTGGATACTCCTCCTGTAGAGGGACGTGCCCGACTGAATCCACAGCCCACGTGAGCTGCAGCCCGGCAATATGACGTGATTGAGCAGGGACCGACCGTCCCCCCACTCCTATAGTCCTACCACGACATGTTCTTAGAACCCAGAAATGTTCTAAGAACAAAAACAATGTGCTTAGAACATAAGCCCCATGTGCTAAACCAAGACAGACTCCGCCAGAAATGTGCTAAGAACATTTCGTGGGAACCGCAAGAGGTTCTTAGAACAATTCTTTGGTGGGGCTATAGGCGAGCCAGGACGCTTCGCCAGTGCTTGAATCCTTAGATCTTCCTCCTGTACAGCTACGTGCCCGACTGAATCCACAGCCCACGTGAGCTACCACCCGGCAAGATGACGCGAAGCCCTCGGGAGCGGCCAAGAGGGGGGTGTCCAAGAGAGGGGGGGGCGCAAATCATGACCGGCGGCATGTGCGCGGCCCAGCGGGGGGGCCAGGGACGCAATGAGATGAGAAGAGGCGCCATGAAATCTTGGGAAATATCATGGCCCCCGCCATGAGATCCACCCCCCCCCTGGGCATCACCCCCCTCTGACTACCTACCAGACCACCCCAACCCAACCCGAAGACCCGAATTTCGGGTTGGGGGGGGGTAAGGGTTCCACATGTGTTTTTTCGATATTTCCCGGACCCCCCCCCACTGGAAATCGAGGGTAAATCTGAGCCTTCGGGTTGGGTTGGGGTGGTTTGGTGGGTGGTGACCCTCTTTGCCGCCCCCGAAGCCCTGGGCACCACCTCTCGGGCCCGGGGCGCCCCGGCCGGCCCCCGAGGAGGAGGCGGCGCGCGTGCTCTCCCAGCGCCTCCCGGAAGGCCCCCTCGGCGGCGGCCCGTCGGGAGCGCTTCCGGGGCTCCATCACCTGTCGAGCAGGGGCCGACCGTCCCGGCATTCCTGTAGTCATACCACGACATGTTCTCAGAACCCAAACATGTTCTAAGAACAACAATTATTCACTGCGTGGAGCTCCCCATCTGTGCATCTACTCGCATGGACCTGTCCGCCGTGAATGTCTAGGCGCAAGAGCTTTCGAATATTAACGGGCTTCAGTTGTGACGGTCTGGACATCAATCTAACTGCGAATGAATTGGAGTGTGAATGAGCCTCAGTAGTACGAGCGCGTCTCTGTGCATGAGCCTGGGGCCTCCTGGGGCCTCCTGAAACCTACTGGGGCTTCCTGGGGTCTCCAGGAGCCTCTTGGGACCTCCTGGGACCTCCTAGGAAGGTTTCGTGCCCCAGGGGAGGCGCAATCTATAGCAACAGACGTACATAAAACATTGCGGATTAGAGCCACAGGAGAAGGGCAATCTATAGGAACACGCGTAAAACACCAAGGACTCGTGCCCCAGGAGAGGCCCAATACATAGGAACATGAGTAAAACATTTAGGATTGTGTACACAGGAGAAGGACCATCTATAGAAACATACGTAGAACATCAAAGAATCGTGCTCCAGGTGAGGCCCAATCGATAGGAGCATACGTAAAACACATGGGATTGGAGCCACTCCTGTTGCCTTCTGAGGCCTCCTGCTCCTGGGGCCTCTCGGGGCCTCCTGTTGCCTTCCGAGGCCTCCTGGCGCTTCCTGTTGTCTCCTGGGGTCTCCTGTGGTTTCCTGAGGCCTTCTGGAGCTTCCTGGGGCCTCCTGGAGCCTCTTGGGACATCCTGTGGCCTCTTGAGTCTTTCTGTGGCCTCCTGATGCCTCCTGGGACCTCATGTGGTCTCCTGGAGCCTCCTGGAGCCTGTTGGAGCCTCCTGTGGCATCCTGAGAAGAATCTGCGCCCACGAGCCTGGCCACCAAAACTAGCAAACCGATCGAGACATCCTCAAAATCTGGCCCACCTGGGGGGTGAAAATGAGCGCCTCGCTCGAGACATCCTCCAAATCTGCTCCGAAAGCGAAGGATGTTGGGCACAGAAACAGGCAAACCGCCTGAGACATCCCCACAAAATGGCCGCGAACGAGCCCGTGCAACCACCCCTGGCGGCTCCCCTTAGGGGTGCTGAAATGAGCGCCTCGCTCGAGACATCCTCCAAATCTGCTCCGAAAGCGAAGGATGTTGGGCACAGAAACAGGCAAACCGCCTGAGACATCCCCACAAAATGGCCGCGAACGAGCCCGTGCAACCACCCCTGGCGGCTCCCCTTAGGGGTGCTGAAATGAGCGCCTCGCTCGAGACATCCTCCAAATCTGCTCCGAAAGCGAAGGATGTTGGGCACAGAAACAGGCAAACCGCCTGAGACATCCCCACAAAATGGCCGCGAACGAGCCCGTGCAACCACCCCTGGCGGCTCCCCTTAGGGGTGCTGAGTATGAGTAAGTCTGTGTATGAGTAAGTCTGTGTATGTGTACGTCTGGGTATGACTAATACTGTGTATGAGTAAGTCTGTGTATGAGTAAGTCTGTATATGAGTATGTCTGAGTGTGAGTAAGTCTGAGTATGAGTAGGTCTGAGTATGAGTAAGTCTGAGTATGAGTAAGTCTGTGTATGAGCAAGTCTGAGTATGTCCGACAGGAGGGGAGGAGAAAAGAGGAGGAGGAAGGAGGAGTAGGAGGCGTCCAAGTAATAACAAGAACCCCATCTTAGGATATGGGGAACAATGCTCCTAGAACATCAACCCGATGTGTTAAAACAGGACAGTCCTGGCCAGGAATGGTCTGAGAACGTTTCGTGGGATCCACAACAAGTTCTTAGAACAGTGTGTGGTGGGGCTATAGGCGAGGTGGGACGCTTCGCCACTGCTTGAACCTTGGGGGGTCACGGGCCCCGACGGAAACGGGCGGAAGGGAGGCTTCGAGCAGGGCAGGGGTTGTTCAGGAAACGCCCAGGGCCGTTTTTCGTACACTCCTCGGCGGCGGCCCGTCGGGAGCGCTTCCGGGGCTCCATCACCTTGGGGGACGACGGGCCCCGACGGAAACGGGCGGAAGGGAGGCTATGAGCAGGGCAGGGGTTGTTCAGGGAACGCCCAGGGCCGTTTTTCAGACACTCCGAATGCCGAGGCCTGGGTGGCGCCTCCTCCCTCGAAGCAGCGGGAACACGGGGGAAGGGCAGCAGCATGGTGAAATCTTTCTGTCTCGGCGTTTCGACATTGGGCGGAAGGGGGGGGGAAGGGGGGGCGGTCCGGCTCCGGACCTTTGCTCCATGCGACTGTTTGCGACAGTGCGCCACATGGGGGAGACCTCACCTGCTCGAAACAGGCATCCAAGAACAGCCAAGCTCTACTGCACAGGGGGGGTAGGGGGGGGGGCGATGGCCCGCGCCGATCGGCAAAGCAATGCATAAAACAACGATCACGTGCTGGACCCAAGGGGCCTTCGAGCATGTTGGAAACGCTGAAGGTGTTTTTTTGTTCTCGCTTTCCGTGTCGTCCTCTGCTGTTCCGTGGTGGATCCCTGCGGCATTTTTTGAATTTCTGGGCTTCTCGCTTGCGCCGTCGTCGGTGCGGTTCCGTCGTGTACTGCACGCCTACGTACGTTTGGAGCTGCCGATTGTTTTCCGTGCTGGTTGGCCGACAAGTTGAACTTTGTTGTTTTCGAATTTCGCCAGCCCAACGGGCCAGAGGCGTGCTAAGATCTCTGGCAACTGGTTAACAATATTCTAGTTCGCACGCGCGGGGCGGTCCCTGGGGGTCTCCGGGCGAAAAGTACCCCGGCAAGGTCCCGGCAGACCCGGGTCAGAGATGCTGGACCGGGCAATTTTTCGACACCCCTCATGAGGATCGTGGCCTCCGAGGGGGACGCCGCAAACGACTACCCCCCCTCCCGCCCCAAGAGGCCCCAAGAGCCCCCAAAAGGCCCTGAGGTCCCCCAAGGCGCCGCCAAGGAGCCCCAAGAGACTCCCAAGAGGTCCAGGGCCGGCGGAATGAGCGAAGCGATTAAATAATATAATCATCATAAGACTGCGAATACTGTGAATAATAATGAACAAAGACAAAAAAACGTCCCTCTAGAATCAAGGAAACACAACCCAAGCCCCCCCCGCAAGACCAGCTGCTCGTCCTGAGCCGCTTCCACACGGACCCAGGGGCCCCACATCGCACAAAACCCACCGGGCACCCCCGCCACCCCCGCGGGACCCGCTCCCTTCACTGCGGCACCTCGTCCTCCTCCTGCCGGCTACACGTAAGAGGGACCCCAGGCTTACGTCGGGCATGTCCTCCGAACGGCGATCACATATATATATATATATATATATATATATATATATATATATATATAGAGCTCCAAATTTGTCAAACAATAATAAAAAATTGTCCCCAGACTATTTTTGGGACTAGTTTTGAATATTGCTCCTGTAGAGGGACATGCCCGACCTAACCCTGGGCAAGAGCGACCTTTGGTGCGCGACCTGACGTCGGGGGCGGCAAGAGAGGGGGGTGATGACTGGGGCGGGGGGGAGGATCTCACGGCGGGGGCCACGACACTCTTCCCCAGGCCCCGTGGTGCCTCGTCTTCTTTCACTGCGTCCCCGGCCCACCCCCCCCTCCTGGGCCGCGCACATGCCGCGGGCCATGATTTGCGCCCCCCCCCCTCTTGGATTAAGTCGGGCCTGTCCCCCCACAATGGGATTTTGGACGAAAAACAAGAAATACCCCAAAAATCAACAAAAAGTAGCCTGGGGACTATTGTTTGATTCTTGTTTTACCTTGTTGGTGTATATTTTTTTGTTCTTGCATGTTTCGCCCAAAATCCCCCTGTAGGGGGACAGGCCCGACCTAACTCTTGCACTGGCGGCCCCCCCTACCTCTCTTGTCGGGGAGACGTAAGACCCGGGTACGGGGGACTCGGAAATCCCCGACGAGGTCGTCAAAAAAATGACGAGGCCGAGCCTGCAGTTTGGCGAGGCCTCCCGCTGCAGACATCCCACGAAACTCCTCCTCGCCAAAATCCGAGGCGCGGTCGTCAACAAAAGAATGGCGAATCCGAGTCCTGGCAAACCCGGGTCTTACGCTCCCCCGATCTTGGCCGCCCCCGAAAACGGGGCACGCGGGGTGGCCCCGCCCGGGCCCGCAGGCCCGTGCTGCGCCGCCCCGCGCTCCGCGGCCGGGGGGCCCCGCTGCCCTGGCGGCAGGGGCCGACCGTCCCGGCAGCCCTATAGTCCCACCACGAAGTGCTCTCAGAACCCAAAAATCGAAGGGGCCCTGGGACACACAAATAAATGCTCACAAACAAACAAAATCCCCCCATCTTTTCCTATATTTTCTGGGTGTTGTCTTCCCCCCCCACTTCCCATAGTTTCCAATATTTTCTGGGGAATCGACAATTAATTGTGTCTGTGTGTTTTCCCCTCCTGAAAAATGTTCTTAGAACAAAAACAATGCTCTTAGAACATAAGCCCGATGTGTTAAAACAAAACAGACCCCACCAGAGGTGTTCTGAGAGCATGTCGTGGAAGCCACAAAGAGGTTCTTAGGACATTGCTTGGTCGGGCTGCAGGCACGCCAGGACGCTTCGCCACTGCTTGACGCTCTGGCGGCAGGAGCAGGGCGTGGCACAAAAGGGGGGTGGTGCCAGCGCTGCTGTCGCGGATGGCAACTCGACCTCCGCGACCGTGGCACCACACCGCCCTTTCTGCCGCACCCCTCTCCGAGACCTCCAGCCTCGCGCCCGCACCATGAAGGCCGCTCCGGCGGAAGGCCGCCCTTGCGCGTACGTCGATCCTGGGCCTCCTGGCGCCTCTTCCGCAGCCACCGCCGGGCCGCGTCCGCCGCGGCCGCGGCGTAGAGGCTCTGGCGCTTCTCGGCGCACCCGACGGCCTTCCAGCGGGGCTCGGCGCGGAGGAGGCGGCGCACCTCGCCGAAGGGCGGCGGCTCGGCCACGCCGCCGCCGGCCCCGAGCACGGCCTCCTCGAGCAGGGCCTGGAAGGCCTGGCAGGCCAGCGCCGCCGCCTCGCTGGACCTCCTCTGATGGGCCTCGCATTATGCTCCTCCCATCGTACTGACGGACTACATCCCAGAGCGAAGTTCGAGCACCCGGTGGAACATGTCGAGACGGCATCGACACAGTGTTTGTCGGAGGAGTGCCTCTCCCAAGGCCCGACGCGCGGAAACCCTGGAATTTCGGTACCTCTCTGGTGCTCGACGCTCTTACGGGTGATCCGGGCAAAATCGGGAGCGGCCAAGAGGGGGGAATCCAAGAGGGGGGGGGGGCAAATCATGACCAGCGGCATGTGCGCGGCCCAGCGGGGGGGCCAGGGACGTAATGAAATAAGAAGAGGCGCCATGAAATCAGGGGGAAACATCATGGCCCCCGCCATGATATCCACCCCCCCTAGTCATCACCCCCCTCTTTTCCGCCCCCGACAAAAGTAGGGTGGAACATCACAAGCCTCGAAAGCCATGCGCACCATCTTCTCGCGGTCGTCGGGCGGGACGGGCTCCCAGCGCTCGTCTGCGCCGAGCCCGCTGTCGGCCAGGGCCCGGAGCCACTCGTCCGCAGAGGCGGCGGCGGCGAGCAGCGCCGTCGCCTCGGCCCCAGCGAGCAGGGCCGCGAAGTCGCCGCACCGCTGCCGCCGCGCCGCCACCAGCTCCTCGCGCTGGTGCTGCCCCAGCTGCTTCTGCTCCTAGATTACCAGCCTCGAGCGTATCCCTATCCCTAAGATTGACACGCCACAAGGCGATGACAATCTCAGGGATCCGCCCTCAAAAATGAAGGGAATCCCTAAGATTGACATCGTGATGCGGAGGTGCCCAGCATAGGGATAGGGATTTGCTCCAGGCTGGTAACTAGAGGCCTCCTGGATGGGGTCCGAGTAGATGGGGTCGGAGGGTCGCGCCGCATCGCCAGTGCATCGCCGATGCATCGGCGGTGCATCGGCGATGCATCAGCGAAGTCGGCGACGCATCGGCGACGTCGGCGTGAAGCAAATCGGGCTCCACGTCGGCAATGCATCGGCGATGCGGCGCGATCCTCCGAACCCAACTACTCGGACCCCATCTGGGAGGCCTGGAGCTCCTGCGAGAAGAGCCTCTTCCTGTCCGGGAGGGGCACGGCCTTGAAGCGCCTGTCCTGGAGGAGCGGGAGATGGCATAGACAGGAACCTTCGGATTCGGAGGTCCGCGCGGATTTCGGGATCGGCGCTGGACCCTCCTCCCTGGCGCGCGGAGCGCGCCAAGATCGGCGCCGGAGGCGCCGTCAGGTTGGCCCAACGCCGATCCAGTCGATCCGCGCGGAACTCCGACAATGTATGTTTATACGTCGGTCGGAAGAAATAGGTAGAAACATGAAGTAGGAAGGCGGATATAGTGGATTGGGCCCAGGCCCTCCCAGAGAAGAACAAGACACAGCAAAAGCACGTCGATCCTTGAAGTAGGAAGGCGTTTGAAGTAGATTGGGATCTTGGAATCCCAAAATTGGGCACCCGAGTTATCCGGGGTAGCTCGGGTCCGGGGTAACTCGGGTTTGGATCCCCGCAAAAACGAACCCGAGTTAGCCCTGACCCGAATTACCCCTGAAGATTCGGGGCTCTGGACGCCCGAATTATCCGGGGTAACTCGGGTCCGGAGTAAGTCGGGTTCGGATTCCCGAAAAACGAACCCGAGTTAGCCCTGACCCGAGTTACCCCTGATGATTCGGGGCTCTGATGTTTGACGTTCTTCGACAGCGCGACCCCGCGGATACGGTCGGGCACGAGCCAGGAGAACAGCCTTCGAGAACACGAGGCCGTCCGCCGGCCACGCCACACATCACAGCCGAGGGTGTCGTCACCCTCGCCAGGATGCACAGGAGCATCCACCAATGAGGGGGCCCTGGGACACACAACTGAATATACACACACAAATAACATGATTCCCCATATTTCCCTACACTTTCGGATTTTTGTCTCCCCCCCCACTTCCCATCTTTTCCCATATTCTCGGGGGAATCGACAACTAATTGTGTCTGTGTGTTTTTTCCCTCCTGAAACAAACATGAAGAACCTTCGGGCACCCTCCCCGAACCGACCTCGATCCTATACCTGGGTCTCACTGTACGCGGTCGCACGGATGCGCTCCGCGCGCAGCATTCCACAACGAAAGCGCCCCGCATCCGCGGGGTCGCGGCCCAAGGCCCCGGCATGCGAGGCCCAAGTCGCGCACGGAAGGGGCCCTCGCGGACGCGGATGGTCTGGGCGAAATCCCTGGGCCGACTGTACTCGCGCTTATTCCGCGGGGACCTCTTCATCGGGCGCGGCCTAACCGACCCCCCGATTCCCCTTCCGTGACGTCATCCTCGCCTTTCGAGCTCCCCTCCGGCCGCACACATACGTCTTAGACCGTCTTGGGGCGAGTAGAAGGGGACGTCACGGAAGAGGATGGTTTGCTACGGGTCGGTTAGGCCGCCCCTGACTTCAATGCGGCGGCCCGATTTCGGTAGGCGGCTGGGTTCCCTGGTTCCCAATGTTCCCCGCTCTGGGCCGAATTCGGTGGGCGGCTAGGTTCCCCAAGTTCTCCCGGCAGCGTCTACCGCCAAAGGCTCATCCACGCCATCTTTTCACAAAAGATGCTGTTCAAGGCCACATAAGCCCGGACACGCTAGACCCCGACACCCAACATTTCTCAAAACCAATTTTTCCAGACGGCGGCACGAGCAACATACCGCATTGCAACCTTTCCGATCCAGAATAAACCCGGACACGAAACATGAACGGATGCTGGACAGTGTGACTTTTCAAGAAAAAAGTGTCGTTTCCTTCGTTTCCGTGTCCTGCTTTATCTGTGTCCTGGCCTCCGGGGCCTGAGCTGTGCGACATGGTCATGCGCCAGGAACGCTGCAGTTTCTTATTCATCTACATGTGCATTCTTGACAAAGGGTCATAGTATCCACTGGTGATTGAACGAGTGAACGACACCCACCTGAAAAACAACGTCAACCAGAAAATCCACATCCACCGCAAATTCAATCCATGACAATTTCGGTGATATTGGACGTTGCCTTGTTGAACATGTTTGCTGTCAGTCGTTCATGTTCCACGATGTTTCGTGAACTTGGTTACCGCGTCCTTTTCGAATGTATCTCATCGCCCCCTTCAACATCAAATCGGTTACCTCGGCATGAATACCGTCTATGCTCCTCATGTTCCGTGTATTTACAGCGTCTTCATCATCCCTGATCTTCTTCCATTTCTCGCGATAGCGATGGCGAGGACGATGACGAGAAAGGAAGCACGGGTGACAACAACGAAGTGGCGTGACAAAAGAGGCACATATGAAGTGAGTGGAACGACATACTTTCAATACCAATGTTGCCCCCCCGTAGGCCGCGCGAACAACTGCTCCCCACAACGTTTGCTTTCCAGCGCAATTCTGGGAAGGGGGGGGTATAAAAAATGCGCCAGAGACCGAATGCTGATCCGCACCGCAGTCACACAGCTCAGCGCGGGGACCTGGAGCGGAAAACGGAGCGACACAAACTAACCCGAAAACGTATCAGGAGCAGGGGGAGGAGGAGGATGAGGAGCAGGAGGAGGAGAAGAAGGCGACCTAGCTGAAGAAGTCCACGAGCGATCTCAGCTCCTACCAGCGTGCAGCATCACCTGTGCATCAAACCTGATTGTAACAATGGCCACAAGGGAGGCAACATGCACCGAGTGGGAATCGACGCTACGAGCCACGAAGCACGCGCGACAGCCAAGCGACCTTGCAGGGAAATCTGGAAACTCACAATGTTCTACAAAGCGTTGACCAAAGCCCCGGGGTCAACCGCCACGACTGCTCCCCATAACGCTCCTGCCACAATGAATAATTCTGCCGACGGTCACAGCTCTACCGGAAATCTCAACATTCACAATACATCTTCGAACATCCACCAGTATTAATGTTCTAGTAAACGAACATTCACCGAACATCCACCATTGTCGATAAACGGATGTGCGCGCCTAATGCTCTGTGCAAAAATTAACGGGGCGAGTCGACACCAGCGTTGCTGGAACGTTGCGAAGTCAGATTCCGTGTGAACGACTGGGCAGAAGCATGTGTCAACTGCACATCCGCAAAAGGGTGTGGATAATCACAAAGCAGCTCGCCGCTCAGGCCCCACCGCCAGCCCACACGGCGAGCAAAAAGCGGGCGTAGCCCCGCACGCATTTGAATGCCCACACTTTGTCCTCGTACTACTCGTCTTCCTCCCCGTCGCCTTCCCTGTCCAAACCATACGGCGCGTCGATATTCCATGGTGTATTTGTCGACGTTGCTGCCAAAAGACACCGAACGCAGGTACAGCACCAAGCTGAAAGATGCAATGGTGCCGTGGCATGTTGATGGCAGGTGCGGCCTGCGTGGTGCGTCGAGTGGCCCGCATAACTCTTTCCAAACGTCGGCGGCGCACGGCATAAGTTGCGCCCTCGGCCGCTGAGAATAAAACCGGCTCCCATTGGTTGCGCCATTGGTTGCGCCGTCGGCCGCCGATCATAGAACCGTTCCTATTGGTTGCGCCATAGGTTGCGCCCTCGGCGGGCGAGAAACAAACCATCTCCAATCGATTGCGCTAAAGGTTGTGCTCTCGACCGCCGAGAATAATATCGTCTCGCGTTGGTTTCACTATAAGTTGCGCCCTCGGCCGCTGAGAATAAAACCGGCTCCTCGGTTGCACAAAAAGCGTGCGGATAATTCCTCCCGCCTTGGGGGCTGGATAGATCCGAATTCACGTGTCCTCTTGCACTGTTGTCCAATGAAACAAAGAATTACCGTGCAAGCTACGTGGTGCAATGAATGTGGTGAGCAGCGAACGTGCTCATCTATGTGGTGTGAGCTATGTGGTGCAAGCTACGTGATGCAATGGCTGTGGCACAAGCTAGCGTACTCACGTATGTACAGCGCGATGCGTGGTGCCAGCTACGTGGTGCGATCAAAGTTGTAAAACTTGGAGTTGTCAGCTACACCGCTGCCGCATTCCCACCCACCCACAGCTTGATTTGCAAAACCCATACGGCGGCAAGCTAGCGTACTCACGTGTGTACAGCGCGATGCGTGGTGCCAGTTACGTGGTGCGATCAAAGTTGTAAAACTTGGAGTTGTCAGCTACACCGCTGCCGCATTCCCACCCACCCACAGCTTGATTTGCAAAACCTATACGGCGGCGATCGCGATGAGTGGTTGGTGTTTTCTGGTGCATATATGCGGCCGCGCTACCCCGCACATGCTCGCTCGCACAGCGGCCAGTTATTCTGGCGCGACCGACGAGGCCGCGGTTGCGCTGACCGCCTGGCACTTCCCAGCGAGCAATTCTGTGCGAGTCGGTGTCTTAGGCGGCCGCGGTATCATGGCGACGCCGGCAACGGTTGACACGAAGATACTGGTAACGATGACGGCGGCGGGCATGACGATGAAAATGGCAAGGCCAATGGCGGCGCGGCGCCGATGGTGATCACGCCGATGACGATGCTGGTGTTCACGCGTCGGCGATGACCATTTTGGACAGAATTCACCATGCGCGCGCGGCCGACGCGCGCAGGTGTCCCGCATGGTACGGTTTGACAGGGATCGTCCCCCCCAAGCAAGCGCGCAAGGGCGTGGCATGCGCGCGCGAGATGCCTGGTGGGTCACATGAAATGAACATGTTGAAACAAAAGCCAAATTTCTGTGTTTGGTCAAATCTGATGATAATTTTGAGAAGCCGATGGTTTTCTGCAGAGCTCGAAAGAGCACGTGCGCAGATCTTTTGATGAAAACAGATAATGCAAAACCACGTGTCTGTGTTTTGAATATGGTTTTGGTAACTTGGTTTTGACAAGAGTGTCCGGCATGCGCGCGACGACGCGCGCGTGTGAATTTCATCCCAGATGTTAGAAAGGGAATGTAACATACGATGGTCTTTGATTGACGAGTGCGCGTGCGTTGTACTGTTGCAGAAGATGATGGGGCTGGGGGCGACAAGGGAGTTCTGAGGATGGTACGATTGCGTATGTAGGATGGGCGACATGGCAGAATCATGTGTAAATTGAAATAAAGAGGCTGGCTCG